AGCAGAAGGCACCTGCTGGGACCTAGGTGAAAGCAGGAGCTGAGCAGCAGTCTGGATGTTTCACTTGTAGTGTCTTTTGCATAGTAGCGCCTCATGCTCTATGTTGAGGGACAGTAATGAACCAGCATCCAAGAATTTCTTTACAAAACACTCCTCAACTTTTATGACTGCATGTTAGGCTTATTGATGCACGTTCCCACTGCCAGGACGAGGGAGCGTGGAAGCTCCCCTGACCCTCTCAGCCCTGGTTCAGGCGTAGCACTGTGACATTGCTGGCATGGCTGGTGCTGCCATTGGTGCTCAGCGGAGATGGAGCTGGGCTAGGCTGAGTTCCTTATGGCTTCTGGTCTGTTTGCCATCTGTTTTCTCCAGTGATGTTACGCTTTTTTTTCTTTTTAGATCAAAAATTGAAATTGTTTACCCGTTCCCCAGACTTAATCTCATATATAAAGCAAAAAAAAAAAAAAAAAAGAATATGTAAAATAAATTCTAGTGTGTGCTGCATGTAAAGGAGAGACACATTTGCTCATTCTTTCTCCTGGGGAGAAACCCATTGCCCCAGGCTCACCCTACTGACTGGCCAGGAGCTGCTGCACATGCTGAGCCCAGCAGCAAGACCTGGTGCTTCTGGGGCTACTTTGAGGAAGCTGCCGGGGAGGAGCTGGCTTCCTGAGGCATTGCCCCAGATGAGCTGCTCATCTCACATTGCCACTTGCTGCATCTTGTGGCAGAGCTTTGCTTTTCGCTTCGTGCACTCGGCGGGGAAAGCCAAATGAGTTTCCTAACCCAGTGTGTGCTAAATCTGGTTTGTGTCAAATACGGTGCGGGAGATACGCAGTGCGAGTGGAAAAATAGCTGCTGGCAAGCAGATTCATGTCTTCCCTGAGCAAATAAAGCTAGCTTTTAAAATAAATGTTAAATCTCCTCCTCAGCTTGAAGAGAACCAGGCCCACAGCTCAGCCGCATGAGAGGGATTTTAGCCTGGGCTGCAGCCAATGTTGAGACCCCATGCCTGTCCCTGTGCCTGCTGGGGCCACAGACTGGGATGGCTCCTACCGCTCGGACTCAACATTGGCAGCAGCTCTCTGTTTGCAGGGGGGACGAGGCGGGGGATCCACACACCAGCTCTGTGCCCCGGAGCCTCCTCGCCTCAAGGCAAACATTGAAGGAGACTTTGTGCGGGCTGGATGTGAGTGCTGGGAGGTTTTCCCCAAAGTCATCGCTGTAGGTAATGTATATTTATGAGGGGAACAAAGCGGGCAGCAGTTGCTTCCAAAGACTGCTCTCCTTTCCTGGTGGCTCTGCCTTTGGGCGCGTGGCGTGGGGAAAGGCCGCTTCACCTTGGGGCTGAGCTCACTGCTGGGGCTCTGCTCTTCTCAGGCAGTCTTGCAGACATTGTGCTCTGTAGTCCATACTCATAAGTGTGTAAGAGATATGTGCAGTCACTGGCAGCAGTGGTCAGTGTTTGCTCTTGGACTGCTGATTGATCCAAATGGTGTTTCATGCGGCACCATGACTTCTCAATTGAACTTGTTGGTCATCATGTAGCTTTGAATTTCTCACTTTAGTTTGGTGTATATGTATCTATCTGTATGTATACATATATGCCTACAAATGTATAAATGTGTAACTATCTGTAAAAAACACGTTTGGCCCAGATTTCATGCTGTGCATCCAGTAGCCTAACTGCCAACCCGCCGCTCCTGTGGAAGAGATTTCAGCAGAAATGGTTCTCCAGCCTGAGACTCATGTAGGATTTGTAACACTGACTTTCCTATGGTCTTTCTCCTCTATGTGGCCAGCACCAGTCCTGCTGCTTTGGGAAATATGAGAAAATATACCAGTTTTGGTTGCGTTGCAATTGGGATTTTGGATTCAGTCAGGGCAAAGTTCCTTCCCTGCTGCCAGTTTCTGTGCTTGCATAGGTTTGTTGGGTTGCCATTATCTTGAACATACCCCAGCAGCAGTATATCTCCCAAAAGGCCTCTGTAGAGCTAAATTGTTTTAGCCAGGACTCCTGAAGAGAAATGCCACATCTGACAAATAACTTGCTGTAGCCAATGTGTGGGTTTGCTTCAGTGAGAAGAGGTTTTTTGCTCTCAGATCAAACATCAAAGGGTTCTTACATAATGCAACATCTTTTAGCATTAGTAAGGTATTAGGGCATCATCATGTAGCACTCCGATACATTTTAGTATTCTATTCTATTTCTAAATGCAGCTCACCTCTACCCAAGGGATTCCCTAGCCCTACAGAAAATAGTACTGAAAGTGATCTAGAGCAAACCCAAGGATTTGGGTGCACTCCAAACAACAGCATCCATAGCAGGAGTGGCTGGCTCTCCTGATTCTAATCTGCCTAGAATCTTTCCAACAGCTGTGAGACTCATGAACACTTCCAGCAGGTTTTGTAGGTATAAAGGGTATAAAGTAGCCAAGAGCTGGGGCTGGAGCTGGCCTGGGAAAGCAGGTGGGCCTGTGGGTAGCCCCTTAGGATCCATTGGGTGGTCAGTCCACCCAATGTGGAGGGTGTTGATCTTTAATGAACACCTTTGATGTAAGAATGAAGAAGTCAGCTGTCAAAATAGAGTCTCTGGTGATGAATACGTGTGTGATTTTCATACTGCTGCTTAATTTCAGGGATTTTCCCAGGTCTGTCAGTCCTACTTGCCTTTTTCACCTTGTGAAACCCAGAATCTTCACTACATCTGAGCAGCACCTTCCACTTCTGCAGCAAACTTATGTCCTGGTGAAAGCTGCTCAGAGGAAAACGCAATAGCGAGTGTTAAGCGGGAAGGTCGTTCGGCAGCAGGCTTGCGCAGGGATAAATCCTCCATCCTGCCGTGCCTTACAGCATTACGGGTTTGTGAGCATTCTCCTGGGAGCCAAGCTGCCGTTTGTCAGCATTTACACCAGCGTGAACGGCAACGGCTGCCTTCAGGAATGCTGATCAGCCCCCGGCCTGCTCCTCGCCCGATGCACGGGGGAATCTGTCCTCGCTGTCACTCAGGATAATGATACCCCGCCGGCAGAGCACGAGGCCACAGCGTGCCCTAATCTCCTCCAGAGCTGCCTTTCCCAGCTGGGACTCCCGAGTTTAGTCGTGCAGGCGGTAGATGGAGGCTGCAATTGAGCTGAGCCACCGAGTGAGCTGCAGGGTCTTTTTTGTCTTGAAATAACCTTAGTTTTCGCAGGGCTCAGCCCTCAGGGCCTTGTCTCATAAATCGGGTTTGTGTTAACTTGGGCCATCTACTTCCCTTTTAAAAGCTGTCTTGTTTATTGTGGATGAAAAATTTATTCCCAAATTGGGGTGTTAGCATACTGGATATTTGATTGTAAATGTATATCTGTAATTAGAACTTAGCTTGTGGATGCAAAATTCTGTATCTTGTGATTTTTTGAAAGCACACATCTTAAACTACAGCCTTGCCCTTCAGAAATACTATTCTGTGCATTTAAAGGTCTGAATGACCTTTTAATCAGACATTGCACCTTTCCTTCTAGCCGATATGACAACGTCTGACAGTAACTCAACCTGATGTTGTGAGGAAATAAATAAAGGCCATTGCAGCCGCTATGCCTTTAAATCTGTCTAGCTAGCTGCGGTTTTTCGTGTTTAGGTAGATGGACCCATGGAGGAGCATTGCATTTAGTTTTCAGGCGAAGACAATATATCGAGTTCAATACATTTGCATGTCTGGCTGCTCTTTTGAGATCAATTTAGGCGTGTGATTGCTTCCTTCCACTCTGAACTCAAGCCTTTCCTGCAGCCGACCTCATGAATTATGAATCCACATCCCTGGCTGGAGCTCAGCAGCCATCTTACAGCCTTTGCTGACCTGGGGCTGTCCTCAATGTTCCCGGACAGCTGCTCATGCTTCAGGTTTTGGTGAGGGGCTGGCAGGGCTGGCTGCCAGCGACTCATGTTTTAAGGCTATTGCTCCATGGAAATTCTTACTGTTGGAGGCAGGTGTATCTAAAAACCAGGCCATTGCCTGAGGGAGCTGGTGTTCAGATGATCTCTGGGACACCAGCCCTTATGGAGAGGGACTGGGTGCTGGGTAGTGTGGGTTGCGCTGCTGCTCTGTGAGCGCACAGGGTAGATATAGTGGTAGCACAGACCCTGTTTAGACAAGCTGGTATTTGTATACATGGTCAGCTACATCAGCAAGTCTTTGTGTCCCAGGGTTGTGTTTTTAGTGTAATCTCATGTGCTGTGATGCTGCTTTCCCTCAGCGGTTCTGTATGTCTGTATGTAAAGAATATTACACTATGCGTTGAGGTGTGAAAGGAACTGGCCTGTGCTCAGATGCATGTGGGACACCCAAATGCAGGTGGATATCGTTCTGGGGAGACAGCAAGTGGAGCGGTAGGGGTGAAGAGCAGCAGCCCTGAAGGCAAACTGTTTGATGTGAGGCCAGGGGCCTAGCACGTGTGTGGAAGCAAGCAGGTGGGCAGCCTGGGCAGCCCCCTGGGTCAGTTGGTGTTTCCCTTCCTCAAACTAAGTTGAGGATGTGCTTCAACTGAAATGTGGAATGAGGGGAGGTAGAGCAATGCCTGTTATGCCCCTGTCCGAAGAAGTGCTCCTGCCAAAACACATGCCTGACTGGCAAGCAACCCACCCGCCTGCAGCCAACAAACCGTACGCTGTGCCGAGTTGCAGCTGGGCAAGGTTGTGTGGTCATTCCAAAGGCATTGTCTGTTTTCCAGGAGATATTTTTGATAGATGTTCACACGCCCGTGACTACCTTGCTTAGCTAACTAAAGAGGCTGCATGCTAGGGGTGTTACTTACTGCCTAAGATGTGTCACATGTGACCCTGTAATGGCATGTGCTTGGAGGAGGGATGTTTCTATGAATTGTCAAGCTGCGTGAGGCATCGTGCTGTTCCTAGATAACTGAAAGTATGCCGGAATTGTACAGGGAAAGAACAAAGAGAAGAAATCGAGTTTTGTAATGCCACAAAAGAAAGCTTAACTTGTTTTCTTGCTTTTTTTTTAGAGAACACCTGTTCCCAGCGCTGAAGCATTCCGATGGTTCTTTTAAGCAGTAGTGTATCTTATTTTCAAGGCAGTCCGAAGTGAATGGCAAGCTAAAGTCTTGTTTTAAGAAACTGCTTAGTCTACCACTGAAGAATATACTCAGATACTATTTTCATTTCTGTATAGGGGTTTCCTCAAAAGCAAAAGACAAAAATCTGGGAGCCTGGGGAATTGGCCAGCTTATTCACATTCAGTACACTGATTCTTTCTTTGATGTAACTTAGCTATACTAGTGAAGTTGTTGTCTATTTTTAAAGTGGCTGTTAAAAAAAAAAAAAACACAAAAAAAAAAAACCAAAAAAAAAAAAACAAAAAAAGTTTGGGTAAACCCCTGCTATAAAGTCATGTATCTTTGAAAAGTAACATATCTATACTTCATTTTCAAATATATGTGTTTCAGTACTGTAAACTGTACAGATAGCCGCTTGTATTTTGTGTGTTTAGACACAAGGAGACAATCATGTCTGAGCATCTATGGAGATTAATGGTTTGTACACAACGGTGTGGTTCTGCGAGTTAAATCCGGAGCAATAAATCCTAGCTTTAAATATTATTTTGCTAGTTGTTTAGCAGCAGCAGCAACAGCAGCACTGTTTTACCATGCATCCTTCCATAGAGACTTGATACCAAGTTTTGGAAGATAAAAAGATTGTGACGCATCTAGCAATTACCTTCCATCATGGTGTTGTGAGAGGGGAAGACATAAAATGTAAGATTAATCTTTCACGCACTATATTAGAGTAGTGGTTAATGCACTTGCCTTGCTTCCGAAGGAGCTTTACATAGGGGTATCCATCCAAAAATGCTGTATGGTGTTTGACCTACTTTTCACTGAGTTCTAAGGCGAAGTGCCCAGCCTATGTGGATGTGCATAAAGCTTGTTCTAGGATGGAAAATGAGGTGAGCATGAGCCCTTAGTATAAATAAGGACTCGGCTTCATTGCCCTCCGTGTACGGGTTCTTATGTAAAGTTTTTGGTCAGTGGAGTAAATGTTTTGTAAAGCTGAATGCAGTATTTTTGGTCCAAGAGGAGCTCTTCACGGTTGAGTTTTGACCATTGGACTGGTTTGGGTCTCACTTGCAGTTGTATTTATTTGAGAACCTGAATATTTTTGAAGTATAAAACTGAATTTAAAAATACTTCAATAACAAAGACCTCCCTACATGGTCCTTGTTCCACTCTTCTCAGCTTTGCTGAACCACTGCTCCCTTAGGCCCTGAGCAGAGTGCTGTGCTGCTCTCCTTCCTGCTCTGACTGGGTGGAGGAAATAGCTGGGAAAAATAAGGAGGATACTGAAACTTAGCGATACTTAATACTGGTTGATCATCACTTCTTATTGCTCGGCCATACCATTCATGAGTGAAAAGGCCATCCCGTCAAAGTAAATGAATGCTGTTGTGCCGCATACTTGATAGATTTATCATTTTATACAAAGTAAGACTGCCAGTAGTTTCACAGAACAGGTGCTGGGCATGGAAAGAACTGATCAGTGGTGCACAGCCCACCCAAATCTTCTCTCATTTCAGCTGTTTCTTCATGAATGTGCTCAGTGCTCCAGCCTGTGGTCCCCAGTCACCCTCATGAGGTGGATCGTGTGGGATGGTGGGGAGTGTGGCAGTGCGGGGCCTGTGTGGCTGAGGGGATGCTGGCTTTGGCAGGGGAGGGGGCTCTTGCGAGCCAAGGTCCTCCAGGAGGAGCCTCCTGAGATTACCCACGTGTGTCGGCTGGGCTGGGCATGGGTGGGTCATTGTATCTGAAGGAGCATGGATGGATGAAGGGTGGACCACAGGCCTACGTCTTTGCGTGCATGACTTTGGAAATGGAGTGTTACACTCAAAGTGCTTCTGTCACAGTGCCCCTCCTTTTGTTTATAAGGGGTCATCAGTTGGATAAGCATACAATGAGCTTTACGTCTGTTCTTATGTCAACTGTGTACGGATTTCTCTTTGTGTTTGAGACTTTTTGGTTAGGGCCTCTGTTGTTGACCAGTTGACTAACACAAGCTCTGTAAGGTCTTCTCTACTAAAATGCTGATTGATTTATCAACTGAAGCCTTATTTGCACATCTGGCTGGTAAGCTTGCCTTGCTTTTTGGAAAATTGTGATTGTTCTTAAAGAAGTAGAGACAAGATTAAATTCAGGCTGCATTAGGTGTACAAAGAATATTCATAGCGATGTACTTACTGTCTAATACCCTAATGTTGCATGTGTTGATGTGCTTTCTTTTTTTTTTGTTTTGTCGTCTTCTTTTAAAGAACTGATGGATCTGTATATTGTAATTGTGGTGTTTTACATGTCAATTCAAAATTGTTAAAAAACAAACAAGCAAACCTGTTAATTACTGAAAAAGAACAAGAGTTGATTTTTCTTTGGTTTCCCCATGTGGCTTTCATTTTGGATATTGTTCCTTTACACCATTGCGGTTTTAGACTTGGGGAAAACAGTATTTCTGAGATGTGGTACGCATAGAGATTTTGGTTTGGGATGTTTGAAGAAGGAAATCCCTTTGCTGGCCTTCCTCCTCCCCTGTTGTATACATATTTGTAAAATGGTTTCTTTTTTTTTTCAAGTTCTAATGACCTAATTTGTGCTTTTCTCAAAGTCCAAAAATATTTTCCAGTATGAAAATCTGTATTCCTCTATGTCTTTCATTCACACGGTGCAAAAAAAAAAAGTTAGAAATTGTAAAAGAAAAGCAGAACACAATTTCACAGTCTTCTAGGTATGAGCACTAAGCCTAATGGAAGCATTGTTGGCATACCCCAGATAAATGTAGGAAAAATGGTAAGGCTGAACGGGAGGCATACGTACCCATTCTGTAAATTAATAACAGACCCCCCCTAAGAGGGAAATGCTCTCTTTTGTGCAGAACCCCTGGTATGTAAGTCATGCAATTAATGTTAAAGCATATCAAGTCTTTAAATGGGCTATATCTGTAATCAAATAATGAAGAAAGAAAGTAGTTAAATGAACATACCATTCAGGGTCGAATACACTCAGCAAAAAGCAGTAGTGGGTCTTTGATCATGGTTAGATGCATAGTGATATCAAACAGTGGATTCTCATGTAACAGCTAAATGTTTCAGATTTTGTTTTTATTAAATTTGGCAGTTTCACGCTGAGCTCTACTGTACTCTTAGTGAATAAAAGACAGCTCCTATGTTAGAAAGTACTCCATTTTCACAATTGCAGGGAACTAGGAGGTTTTTTTTCAGAAACACGAGCCACAGAAATGTACTCCTTTCACAGTGTTCTCCTATTTCTGAACTGTGCAGTTATCTATTAAATTTTCTAATAGATATTTGTGTAAGGTGTATGTATGCTTGTGCAATTATGGAAAAAAAAAACAGTTTTGGAAAACGGTGTATTTATGAAAAAAAATCACTTATGGGGCATGTACAAAACTGTATAAAAACATTCAATTTGCCCAGTAAAGTTGTTTTTGTGATATTTCTGTGTTGTTGAATAAAGGACTTTAGTATTCAAGATATCTCTCTTTTTCCATAAACAGGTTTTGTTTGTGGGATCCTAAGCAGTGAAAATCTCTTTTAAAAAGGAATCCTCAAAATGATGAAGAGGGTCCAAAGCTGACCTCAATCGCACGTTTGGGAATGAATGCTTATGAAGTGGCGGTGCAATAGCTACACAACTAATTCCTTCTCAATTGGCAGTCATTGGAAACCCCATAAGTTGTGTACCTGCAGGTGACGTTGTGCTCTGAATTGTTTAAGAGAACAGAAAAATAGTACCACCTTTGTAAGACTAGGAGTGTGATGTTGAGTTGTAGAGACTGTGAAAAGTGGAGTTAGAAGGAAGACAGATTGCAGAAAGGTCTTCAGCCCTTTGGTGCAGACCTCTGTTGTATAATGGAGTGGGAGTGATGTGATGAGTTAGCGGTTTGTTTCATAGGGAGGAACGTATGATGGTGAAATCTCATCTGTGACTCTTGCAGCACACCGTAGACCTGAGGGTGGATTGTCACATCAGTACTGGAGCATTTGGGATTGCGAACATGGCTTGTGTGAGAGTGACAGCAATATCCTTCTCTTTGTTTTTCTGCCTTTCAGTTTGAAGTTCTGCTCTTTTTCCTGCTATACCTAGGAAATAGTTTCTCGTTTCTGTTTTCTTCCTTCGTGCTACAGACAGGTGCTAACATCATGCCAGTAGGTGGGAGAGTGTGTGGCTGAGTGGGTAGCATGTCCCCTGACTGTCATGAAGTTTGGAATGTCATTGCTCTGCCATTACACCTCGTATAAACATAACGTCAGCTCAGTGTGCCAGTGCAGGACTGTGAGAGGGGTGGAAAGAACAGGTATGTCCCCTGGGCTGCAAGGTTTCCTTCGATGCCAGCTGATTTTCTGGGAAGCCTAGGTGTATCCTTTTGGTTTTTAGAGAAAGCAATAAAACCAAAAGGAACAGAGTTGGATTTTCCCTTGATCCCATCTTCTCTCATCAAAATCCGTAAGGATATATGCTCTTATGAGACCTAGACCGCTCATTAGACAGCACCAGGGATGAGCCTTGAGTTGTTTGAAGAGGAGGAAGAAAGGGGCTGCCAAGTTGCTTAGGCACAATCAGTGATGTCTCTGGATTAGATACAGAATTCACAGGGAGGAAATGTGCTAATTTCATGAGAAGGTCGATTTGGAAGCAGGAAAAGGTCTCTGAGTTCCTATTCCTTTAATGCTTTCTCTTTCAACTTTTTTCCCCCAGGGTATTGTTTTATACTGGTCTGAATGAAAAATATCCCTTAGCTCCAGAGAAAAACTCACCCCAGATATGAACCCTGCAGTTTAAAACTACCTCTAGCTTTTTATAGCTTTTGTTTTTTAATTAAAAAAAAAAATCTTTAAAAAAAACAACAAACTCAAATAAAAAGTAGGTAATTCTTCAAAGCCAAAACTTGACAAACTCATTAGTGAAGCTATTAAGAGGAAGGAAAATATCCTTTTGCGAGAAGCTTGATTCTTCTAGGCTGTGATGGACTCAATTTGTTTTTGCCACTAGCCATTTCAGCTCTCTCTGATATTTCTCCAAGGAACAAGTCTGAAATTATGAATGGCCTAGTGGTACGAGGCAGCGTGCTTCCTGGGACATCCAGACCTCCCTGGATTCCCATGAGCTTTGCTAGGTAACTTGTGAAGTTGGAGGAACTTCACAAGGATTTACTCGGTCACCAGCATGTGTTGGGCATGGGTAGATGGACCAAAAATCTAAGAAACGCGTCATCTCAGTAGGAAATACAATGAAGTTTGAGACCATTGGACCTATCTGAGGAAGGAAAGATGAAGTTCAGTGTGAGCTTAGCTTTCATAGTCTCTTCCTACCATTGCCTTGATTCTCTTTTCCATTTGGCTTTTAGGATAGATGTGTTTGGCTGGGTAGCAGGGACCTGCAAAACGGCCGTTTTGCCTTAGATAGTGAGAGTGAAGGAAATGTGTGTAGTAATCTTGTAACAAAAAAAGTCTGTGCCGCCTAAAGAAGCTGTCATGTTCAGGAAATAAGGGGTTCTATTGTTCTAAGTATTTGAACTATATGAAAGGGTTGTGGCATTACTCAATAAGCTGAAATAGTTTGTAATTCTACTACCCGTTCCTGGAAAAGGGGTTTTCAGACATGAACCCCAATGGGTTACTGGGCTTAGAAGGTAGTTCTTACTCTAAGCTGACTGCTCCATGAGAAGATCTCGTAATTGGGGGTTCAGCAGTCTGTGTAAGCCATCTTTGCCTTCCTGAGTGCAGGATCTTTTCTATAAAGCAGTCAGAATCCTTGTGGGCAGATTGTCAGATGTTGCCATGTCAAACAGAGCCCAGACTAATTATTCGGAGCGGTTTTCCCCAGCTCTGTTTATAATACGTATAAGAATCCTCCAGCTGAGAAGAAAACACCTTTATTTCCTTAGTCCTCTACGTCTGCCCTTGTTACAGAGTTAATAGCACTAGCCATCTGCACATCTTCAGGCAAAATAAATAAATTGGAAGAAATAGAGGACTGGTTTGCTAGACTTTTTTTCTGGGAGAGGAGAGAGAAAAGAGGTAGCCCAGGTCAGAAGCTCCTGTTGCTGGCCCACCTCTCCTAATGTGGATGCTCTCCTATATAGCCTGTAATTACCTTTGGCAATCAGATGCAGCCCTGAAGAAGACCAGCATTAGGGTAAACAGGGTCTGGGAGATAGGCAAACCTCCTGATCCTTCTGATTGCAGTGAAGGTGCTGGGGGGCTTGTAGGCAGAAAGAAGGCTTGCACATCAGGATGGGGCCTAGAACAACTCGGCCTGCGTGTCTTGCAGAGATTCTGCTTTTGGCTGGGTGTCTGAACCACCAGCCTCTGTGATAAGTGTGCTTTGTCTCTCACGTGTCTGTGTGTTGATGCTCATGCCTAGGCTGGGTAGCTCATTTGGCCAGCTGATATGTTGGCTGAGGATTTGTGGTTTAATGCAGAACTGAACAACTGGCTTTCAAGCTGACTTTGGACAATTAGTAGGGTAAATAACCTGGTCTAACGAGATCTGCCACCCAGATTAGGAGATATGAACCTAATTATTGCTTTCTGATACTCTCCTCTGACTTGTTTTGCCTTTTTGATCTGATTGTTTGCATTCCTAGACCTGATTTGCCTTTTTGATGCAATGCCATGTGACCTGCTGATTAATTTTTGTGAGCAACATAACCTCCAACCTATGGCTGACTCGCAATATTTTTATGCTGTGCTCCATAAACATTCATTCATTTCCTATGATTACTGTGTGGAAACAGACTTTTACGAGCTAATAAACTTGGATTTGAACTGGACGAAGGGTTTTCTTGTGTTGATTCTTTCCTGTTGGTGAGAAAAAAAAAGAACGGAGAAAGGGAGGTACGGCCTTTGACTTGACGTAACTGCAGTTCTCCCCACAGATGCTCTCCACAGCAGGCATGGCAATACCAGCAGCAGCGCCTTGAGTTCATTTTGCGGTAAGAAATGCTCCCTGCTTGAACTCAACCAAACTTTCAGGGCTGAGGGCTGGCGGAGAGGGGGAAGGGAAGTAGGGCTGTTCTAATTGCTCGCTGCAGCGTCTCCTCTCCATAGCCCTGCTTTCTACATCGTGCTGACACGTGCAGAGCAGCCTCCAGCTGAGACCAATTAAGCATTTCGTTCACCGCCACTACTCCACGCCTGCCCGAGCTGGGCGATGCTCGCGGCTGCTTGCATGTCGTTGGGCAACCCCCTCAGCATGAGTGGGTCTGGGAAGCGTCCTCGCATGTTCTTGGGGCCTGATGTGCCCCAGGCGGCGACACGTGGCGAACATCTGGTCCTCAGCCTCAGCCGGCTGGAAAATGCTGCTGGCATTTCATTGAAATGAATTCTCACGTTGCAGCTGTTCGCTGTGTCCCTGGGGGATGCATGAGCTGGCAGCGGCTGGTAACCTGCTGAATGGTCCCTTCGAAGGGCTCTCTGGGGTGGGACATCACTTCTGCAGGCTGGAAGCAGATGGCTGAATGCCTGCATGTGGCTACGCACAGTCCACCGATGTGAAGAATTCCTCTGCCTGTATCAATCTGATACGCAGTACAAGTGTGCACAAAAACTGTGTTGTTAGGATGGCTCTGACCACCACCACAGGCCAGTGAGGTGTGCATGATCTTGATGTTGCTGAAGGAAGTGGGCAGCAGCTGGGAGGTCAGGCTGAACTGTGCAGCTGAATGAGACAGGTCCTAGCCGGGCACCTTTTCAGGCACAAGCATCCCTACTTCTGCTGGAAAGGGTGACTTTGCAGGGAAAGCAATCCCTCCTGGTGTTTAGCCACCCAGCATGCTTCCATTGCAGCCTCAAGCAAATTTCTAACAAGTCAGTTTAATGGAGCTTCCCTTAGCAGCATTGCTGTGGGATGCCCACCATCACTGCCCACCTTAGAAAAAATCATTATTACTGGAGAAGAGGTTTTCTGTTCAGGTGTTGGTATTACCTACGTTGCACGTGAGTATTGCAGGATGGATATGTGGTTGGTGCTCACTACTTTCTCCAGGAGTTCATCCAAGTCACTGCATTTCAGGTGCTGGAAGCAACTGGGGTAGGAGTAATGTGCTGGCTGGGGAGTCGCCCAGCATCCAATGGAGGGTGACACCCGTGATAGAAAGGGGCATTCATTTGCCTTTGGGATGGAAGGGATGTGACACCTCTTGTCAAGTCCCATCTTTACAGAGATTTGAGATGTGAGGCAGCAAGGCAGAAGCCATGGCAAAAGGTCAGACAGCTGCAGCACTTTGCATGCGCAGGCCTTTGCCCTAGTGCTGCGATGGCACAAGCACTGGGCATAAGAACAAGTGTGGCGAGTAGTTGCAGTACTTGTGCCATTTTGTTCTCCTTAGCTCCTGTGGTTTGCTCCCAATTTGCACCTCATTGAGATTTTGCACCACAAGACTTACTCAGAAGACCACACTACATGTCACAAGTCCTTCTCCACAGCTTGCTTGTGCCATGAGTTCCACATGGGTTTCGACCATGCGT